TTATAGATTAAGGAAAGCATTATTTATTGATCTTCAGAATACAAAATAAAAAAATAGAATTTAATAGATGTAAAACAATGTTGCTACACACTCATGAACAGTAGGTGGCGGTATGCAGCTTAAAGTCGCTTGCGATCCGCCATGATAGAAAAGAAGAAGAAGGAGGAGGAAGAGGAGCAGTCAGCTGATGTAGAGGGAAGAGGTAACCTGAGGTAAACTTTCTTTCACTTCTTTCTGCTTTTATTCTTTTTAGTTGATCTTTACTTTCAGTTTCTTCTCTTTGCTCGCTTCTGGTGGACAGATTAGATTAGATTAGATTAGAGGAAAGCAGGAGGACGCGCTGCGATCACGTGATTTAGGATGACCAGATCTGGGTTGCTGTTTTTGGGGAGTGGGGGGGGGGTTGTTGGTCTACCGTCACTGACCCGCTGATGGTGTCCCCCCACCCGCCTGCTTTACCGCCGGGTTCCAGGCTTCCATCACCGCAGGGGAGGAACTCTGTGATAAAACCTGGTGGATGGGGACACCTGGCGAGGACACCTGGCGGGGACACCTGGAACTACAGTTCCACTTTCATTGGGCTAATTTTCCTAAAATGAGCTCAAACATCGATTTACTGAATGATTTCCTATTGTTGAGAACAGGATAGAACTATAAACACTGATATTTATATTTATCAGTGTGACTTTTAGTGCTTTATATTTATATAAAAGGCCCAAAAACATGAATGTATGAAGAATAACAGCTGATTCTGATGCCAAATTTGATAAATGAAGCATCACTGGAAGAACAGTTTCTATTCCATCCAGAAAATAAGCTGCATTTTAAATTTAGCAAAGCAGTTTGATTTTCTGCTAAACTTGCTGATATATTTGATCATTTCCCAGTAAATCTGTTTCCCCTTTAAATCTGCAGCTCTTCCTGCTTCTCTCTGTTAAAAAAGATCTATAAACCTCTTTACTAATGTAATGATGCTAGAAACAGAAGTTCTAGATGTGTAGAAGCTCTGCAGGCTGATTCTGTTTAATGAGAAAACATTTGAACCTGGAGCCATGATCCTCTGAGACGCTCAGAACAAACTGCTTTCTCAGCTTCCTGGTTATAAAACTAACTTCTATAAACTAACAATCTGTTATTTAGCTGAAGAAGCTCCAGATGTTTAACGAACAGGAAGATAGAAACGCTTTAACTAGAATTCAACAAGTCATTTAATTAGCAGAAACTTTCTGACCATCAGTGAGTCTGAGAAAGTTCTGGTTCTGTTTGGAACCAGACGCTGAGATCACTGCCTGCTCCTCCTCCTCCTGCTCCTCCTCCTCCTGCTGCTCCTCCTTTTCCTCCTCCTGCCCTCCTTCCTCCTGCTCCGCCTCCTGGTGCTGTGGTGATCATAGAGCACCGCAGCACCAGGAGGCCGATCCTGGTGGAGATCAGGGTTCTGGGGGAGAAGCTCCACCCATAGGTCTGCTGTGGGCGGGGAAAGATGGCGGCTGCCAGCAGATGGGCGGGACCTCAGACGTGTCAGAGATTCTGACCCAGAGTGGGACCAGTATCGCCATCAGGCGCCATCAGGGGTAACTGGGGGTCCTGGAAGCTCCAGTCAGGCTTCAATCTCTGGTCCATTTCTAACCTAAAAGAGGAAAACATGAGGAGCAGCAGGCTGAAGGTAACGGCCCCGCCTTCGCCACTGGAAGCGCCGCCTTCGCCACTGGAAGCCCCGCCTTCGCCACTGGAAGCCCCGCCTTCGCCACTGGAAGCCCCGCCTCCAGCCGTCAGGCCCCCAAACAGGCTGAACCAGGAACCGGCTCCATTCTGCTGGGAGCTGCTTTCCCACGCTGCATGGTGCCGGGGAACTCCCAGCTCCTGATTGGCTCATTGGCCTGTGGGAGGAGCTTGTGTCTGTCGGCCATGTTTGATCCTGGTCTCTGTCAGCTTTAGGTTCTTCTGGGCAGACATGGCTGCCCTCCCTCTGCTGAAGAAGATGCTGGAGGACTTCCTGCCCCTGATGCTGCTGATCCAGCTCTCTGGTGAGTTCCTCCCCTCTAGACTAGCCGCACTAGGGGCCCCTCAGCCGGGCTCCGGGGGCCCCTCAGCCGGGCTCCGGGGGCCACTCAGCCGGGCTCCGGGGGCCACTCAGCCGGGCTCCGGGGGCCACTCAGCCGGGCTTCAACCAATCAGGATGTTTTATTTCTGATTCTTTCAAAGGGTTTTTGTAGCTGGCAGCAGGTGCAGCTGGTCCTTCTCTAAATACTTCCTCAGTAGTAATCCTGTAGTACTCCTCCTGCTGCCTGTTAGCATTCATTACCCCAATGACTGAGCTGCTGCGTTTTTATTTCTCTGGGTTCCGGTGGAATGAACTCCTGATCTAAAGTTAGACCTAAACTCTGGATCAGGATCAAAGAGGTTCTCTGGTGCAGAAACGTGTGAAGAAGATGATGGTGAAGCTCAGGATCAGGAGTCCTGTTTCCGTTTGTTTGCTTAGGAAATACTTCGACATCTTTTTTTTCCTCTGGATTGTTCTGCAGAGTGCGGCGTGTCTCTGAATGCACCGGATGCTGTTACACTGGAGGAAAGCTCTTCTGCGGTCGTCATGGTTACCACCAGGTAAACACTGAAGAGGTTTTATTCTAAGCTGCAGATCCATCAACATCTGTTTGCCTCCTTTATGCTTCAGTACAGTTTTAAACTAGATAACTTGAATAAATAAAAAACTTTCAATATAATGATTTTAATCATCAAAAAGCTCCGACCATCAATGAACAACATGGAAAAAAACTTCCGTTACTGGAAGGATGGCCTCAGATTTCCCTTTAGATGAATGAAATGGAAGTTAGATCCAGTTACCTAAAAGATTTAAACTGAGCTTACCTAGTTAGTCTGTCATTCAGGCATACTAAACTAAAACTAACTTTGCCTGCATTTCACTGTCTGATTAAATGCTTTTTATTGGCCCATCATCTGAGCTCAGAGGTCAAAGGTCAGGAGAGTCTGCAGGTGTGAAACCAGCAGAACGTCCTGCAGGAGGAATCTTAGCTTCCTGTCAAAGTCTGCTCTGGTTCAGATAAAGGTGTTAGCTGCTGCTGCTAAGGTTGGGGTAACAGTTCTTTAGTCGGGGGGGGTGGTGCTAATAAACCTGCTGATGCTAACATGCTCTGGTTGCTCAGAAACGGGTGATTTTAATTCAACACTGAAGCAAAGCAGTAAAACTAGAACGAGTTCTGCTTCAACAGAGGCGTCCATTTCTAAACATGCTGCTTATTTCCTCAGTTCGGCCGTCAGTCGCTCCACGCTGATCCACCTGAACGTGACCTACAGCTCCAAGGAGAACTATTCATCCATCGTCGCTCTGCCTGAACAGGTGAGGCTAACATGATGCTAAACGATGTTCAATTATCAGGACGCTGGAATCCAGAGAGGATGTAGACCTGAAAGAACAAACCGAACCGCATTCTGNGAGATTGCTGCCGTGGGTGAGAGATTGCTGCCGTGGGTGAGGGATTGCTGCCGTGGGTGCAGAGCTCTCGTCGTTTAGGACTTTGATGAACAGTTTCATGTTAGCGATTAAAAACTTTTCTCTAAATGAAATTAAAACTTTTCTGGATCATAGAGCAGATTAAGACACAAAAGGTTTTTAATCTTAAACGCCAAATATTTATATCTATGTTATAAATGTTGATATTCTTTCTCTGTCAGCTAAAGGTAGTTTGCCGTTAATCGATTACTAAATTAGTTTATGATTATTTCAATAATCATTAATCTGTTGAATAGTTTCAGCCGTAATCTATTTATTTTTAAAGTGGCTCCTGCAGCAGGAGCGTCTGGATGAACCAGGAACACATTGTTGATCCGGTTTCCCCGGCAACCGTTCAAATCCTCTTTACTGTTTCCTGCAGAAATAGACTAAACAGATTTATTTGTCTTTTTGTTTACAACAGTGTAAAATAAAAATCAATTTCTTTCTGGACAATTTCATTTTTTTAAAGTACAACTTTTAAAAATAGTAAAAATCTATAAAAACAGGAACATAAACATGCGACTGTAACTTTCCAGTTGTAACATTTGTCTTTGTGCCTGCAGCCTTTGCTTGGTCCCGGTAACGCTGACCTTATCCAACTGCTCATTGGCTCAAATAGATGTCATCATAGATCTGCAACACAGAAGCAGCAGGTAGGTTTCATCCCAGCTTTGCTTACAACCAATCTACAGCTTTCATGTCTATCTAATAAACAGCAGCATGTTTCCATAGAAACGCTCCACGGATCCTAGAAACGCTCCATGGATCCTAGAAACGCTCCGCGGATCCTAGAAACGCTCCGTGGATCCTAGAAACGCTCCGTGGATCCTAGAAACGCTCCGTGGATCCTAGAGGCGCTCCGTGGAGCCTAGAGGCGCTCCGCGGATCCTAGAAACGCGCCACGGAGCCTAGAAACGCTCCGCGGATCCTAGAAGCGCTCCGCGGATCCTAGAGGCGCTCCGTGGAGCCTAGAAACGCTCTGCGGATCCTAGAAACGCTCTGCGGATCCTAGAAACGCTCCGCGGATCCAAGAATCGCTCCATGGATCCGCGGATCCTAGAATCGCTCCGCGGATCCTAGAATCGCTCCGCGGAGCCTAGAAACGCTCCGCGGATCCTAGAATCGCTCCATAGATCCTAGAAGTGGTCCGTGGATCCTGTATAGATATAGTTCACTAGAGTTCACCAGTGATCTGCAGGCTGAGGGGAACCACGCGTCCCTCTGCTCTGTGAACAGCTAATCTAGATTTAGTTCCTGCTAAGGATGTTAGCGTATCCACAGTTAGCCCTCCTCAGCTGATCGGAGCAAAGTCGCATTTTTTAGGCGTCGCGTAGAAAAAAGAACTAGAAGCTAACAGAACCTTTAAGGCTGCAGACTGGGAGCAGCCAGACGGACGCAGGTTTTATTCTCTGGTGAAATAAGCGAGAAATTTAACGTAAACTTTTCTCAGTAAAGACAGAGGATCAATTTAGGCACAAAGAAAGTAGAAATAGTTCAAACAGACGGGGTGTCGATACTGAGACGCAGGATGAGGGGTCTGCATAGATGCTAGCTGTGAAGGTGGAGCTGATCTAGACCCCAATCTACTGCAAGAACTGATCTAAAAATAAATTCTATAAAACTGTTTCATCAATAAGAGGAGGTGCGACCAAATGATATAATGCAGTTAAAATAAGATCAAAGAGTTAAGATCAAAGAGTTGATGAGATCAAAGAGTTGTTTATGTTGATGAGCAGAAGCTCCTGGTTGTTCTCCCGCCTCACTGGCAGCGCTGAATGACTAATGGCGGCCGTTAGCGCCTCCATCCTCAGCCGTTAGCGCCTCCATCCTCAGCCGTTAGCGCCTCCGTCCTCAGCCGTTAGCGCCTCCGTCCTCAGCCGTTAGCGCCTCCGTCCTCAGCCGTTAGTGCCTCCGCC